AAACAGTGGGACGTTATGCCAAAACAGAGTCAAGAAAACATACGCGCTATAATTATTTTGTAAATAAATTTTGCATAGATAAAACGATCAAGCAAATCATATATCAAACATGCATGGTTCAGTTTAAGGCCAATTAATCTCCTAGAGACTGTCTAGGTGCACAGAACACAAGCCAAAGGGAAGGAGAAAGAGAAGAACTTGCCTGTGATTTCAATCTTGAAATCCCTGTGTCGTCTCTAAGTTTTCCGGCAATTCTGAACGCCGCCAAGCTTCCTATAACTCAGTCTCTAATTCTTACTCAACCTCCTTGGTCCTCTCTGTACACTTCCTCTTAAGCCTCACTCTGTTTACCCCACAACTGCTCTCTATTTCCCTCTCTGTATCTTGGGTACGTGAATAGGGTTTTGTTTTTCCAACCCTTGATACAGAGTAACCATATATATATAGGCGTAAAAACATAAACCCTAATCCGTGTTTAATCAGAGACAGAGCCCTAATTCTAAACCTAGTCGGCCCAAAGTTAACTGTAACTTAAAGCAGAATTAAATGGAAAAACACAATTACATAATTAAATCCACTTAACTAATTAATTTCAATTAAAAACCCAATTAAATAATTATAATTCAATTTAAAACACAAAAACACTTAATTCAATTTAAAACACATGACACATAGGTAAACAATTAAATAAAAGAATTAAACCAAATAATCATGCAAAAATACAATAAAAATAATAACTAAAGGCCGAGACTATCCTTTTAAAATTAGGGGTATTACAGCACCCCCATCACTAATGATAGCTCGTGGCATACCAAACCGACTAAAAATGTTCGTTTGAATGAACTCCACCACGACTGCGTGATCAGTGGTTTTAGTAGCTACTGCTTCAACCCATTTAGACACATAGTCAATTGCTATAAGAATGTACTCATTTTTATTGGACAGAACAAAAGGACCCATGAAATCAATACCCAAACATCAAAAACCTCAATAACTAAGATTGGAGTTAAGGGTATCATATTTCTTCTAGAAATTGATCCTAGTTGCTGACATCTAAGGCATGACATACAGAATACATATGCATCCCGAAAGAGTGAAGGCCAAAAGAAACCACATTGAAGAATTTTAGCTACAGTTTTTTTTGCACTGAAATGACCTCCACATGTCAAACTGTGATAGAAGGTCAGAATACTATGAATCTCATTCTTAGGAATGTATCTATGAATGATTTGATCAGCATAGTATTTGAATAGCTGAGGATCTTCCCAATAGTACATCTTAATTTGGGAGAAGAATCGATCATTTTCCTACTTTGACCAATACAAAGGAATTTTGCCTATTGCGAGGTAATTCACAATATTAGCAAACCAAGGCAAATCCTTATGAGAAACCTCAAATAGTTGTTCATCCAGGAAGGAATCACAAACTGGAAGTGAAGTTGAGGTATCCTCAATTAGAATTCTAGAAAGATGGTCAGCAACAACATTCTCTGACCCTTTCTTATCCCAGATTTCGTAATCAAACTCTTGAAGTAAGAGGATCCATCGAATCAAACGGGGTTTGGTTTCCTTTCTGGACAGAAGATGTTTCAAAGCAGAATGATTAGAATAGACTACGACTTTGGAACCTAATAGATATGATTTGAATTTATCCAAAGCAAAAACAACTGCAAGTAACTCTTTTTCAATAGTGGTATAATTTAACTGTGCATCCGACAGAGTTTTGCTCGCATAGTAGATAACATGAGGAAGTTTATCCATTCGTTGTCCTAAGACAACACCCATAGCATAATCAGATGCGTCACACATAATCTCAAATGGAAGAGCCCAATCCGGAGGATTCATGATAGGAGCTGAAGAAAGAAGAGAGCGAAGCTTTTGGAAAGCTTCAAGGCATGACTCATCAAAAGGAGCGTCCTTTGCAAGTAGATTACATAAAGGACTGGAAATCTTGCTGAAATCTTTAATGAAGCGTTGATAAAACCCGGCGTGCCCAAGAAATGATCGCACTCCCTTTACGGAGGTAGGAGGAGGCAACTTAGAGATTAAATCTACTTTAGCTCTATCAACTTCAATACCTCTCTTTGAAATGATATGTCCTAAAATGCCCTCTTAAACCATAAAATAGCTCTTCTCCCAACTAAGAATAAGATTCATTTCCCTACAACGCTGAAGCACTAGGGAAAGATTTTGAAGCTAATTTTCAAATGTAGACCCGAAAACAGAGAAGTCATCCATAAAGACTTTGAGAAACTTTTACTATGTTCGAAAAGATAGACATCATACACCTCTGGAATGTTACTGGCGTATGTACCGAATGGACAAGTGAAAGTAGTTTTCTCTTGATCCTTAGGATCAATGACCACCTGATTATAGCCGGAATAACCGTCTAAAAAGCAATAATAGCTTTGCCTAGCCAATCGCTTTAGAATCTGATTAATGATTGGAAGTGGAAAATGATTTTTTCTAGTAGCGGAGTTGAGTTTCCGGTAATCAATACACACACGCCATCCAGAGGTGGTGCGCTGTGGAACTAATTCACCCTCGGAATTCTCAACTACTATAATACCTGTCTTTTTGGGTACTACTTGAGTAGGACTCACCCACTTGCTATCTGAGATGGGGTAGATTATTCCCGCATCTAGTAACTTCACAACTTCCTTCAAAATTACCTCCTTCATATTAGGATTCAATCTTCGTTGGAGTTCCCGAGATGTTCGAGAATCCTCCTCCAAATGAACCTGATGCATGCAAATTGTGGGACTAATTCTTTTCAAATCAGTCACACTCTACCCAATAGCCTCTTTATTTTGCTCAAGAACTTTTAAGAGACTACTTTCTTGGGAACTTGTAAGATTGGAAGCAATGATCACCGGAAGGGTGTCATTTAAACCCAAGAAAGCACACTTGAGCTTTTCCGGTAGTGGCTTAAGCTCAAGCTTCGGTGGAGACTCTAAAGAAGGAATAGACGGAGTACTAGAAAGTGGTGGAAGCGGCTATAACCTAGATTTCCATGGAGGAAAATTTGTGATTAGAGTGGAGTTTAGTAAAGAATTCACTTCAGCTATTGAAGCATCGATATCGAAATCTTTATAGTTGAAGTGATTCAGACAAGCTTTAAAGGATCCTTAGATAAAATAGTTGGGAGTGATTCCTCAACCAACTCATCAATAACATCAAGGAAGAAGCATTCACTGTCATCGTGGGGATGATGAATAGCATTGAAGATGTTTAGTTTAACCTTCATATTTCCAAAAGATAAATCCATGGCTCCAGTCCTACAGTCAATGCAAGTATTTGTTGTGGATAGAAAAGGTCTCCCAAGAATGACTGGAATATACTTTTTGGAATCGTGGACTGGTTCTGTATCAACAACTAGAAAATCGACCGGAAGATAGAACTTATCCACTTTTATAAGTACATCTTCAACAATACCTCGTGGTTGTCTGACAAAATGGTCAGCAAGCTGTAGAACAACTGACGTAGGTTTTAACTCTCCCAAACCTAACTTCTCATACACCGAATAAGGAATAAGATTAAAACTTGCTCCAAGGTCAAGGAGTGCTTGCTCTATCACATTGTTTCCAATGGTGCAAGAAATTATAGGAGGTCTACGATCTTTAATCTTTAGAGGAATGTTGTACATAAGAATAACACTGACATGCTCGGTGAGACAAACTTTCTTAGGAACTTGGCTTTTTGATTTTCTCTTAAGAGTGCACAAGTGCTTTAAAAATTTAGAATAGGCTGGAGTTTGCTTTATAGAATCGAGCAGAGGAAGATTGATTTTGACCTGTTTAAAGACCTCCATTATATCTTGAATTTTCTCCCCTTGTTTACCAAAGTGGGAGGGTTCCTTGAGACGTTCAGGATAAGATGCTTTTGGCTCATAAGCTTTCTCAGGGTTAGGAGTAGATGAAGAAGTGACTCCATCTTCAACTCCTTTTGTGGATTGTGGAATAGTACTTGAGGAAACACCTTAGGATGTGGATTATGAATGATAGGAATTATGGGAATCCTAAGCCTTTCTTTCTCCTCCTGTCCTTTTTCAACTTGGTTATCAACCACTCGACCACTCCTCAATGTAGTGATAGCCTGAACTTGCTCATGATGAATACCTGAGGAATTGGTTTCATCAATTAGTAAGTCTGCCTTTTCGGGTTGGCTAATGGCTGACTAGGCAGCTTTCCATCATCTCTTCGAGATAGAGTACTTGCTATTTGCCCAACTTGTGCCTCTAGCTTTGCTATGGCTTGAGAATGACAATTAAGAAGTTGGGTATTAGCTTTCAGATCAACAAGAGCATTGAGTAGTTGTTCCTCAAACGCAGAATTTTTGGGAGGAGGTGGAAGATTAGGAGCTTGAATGGGTTGATTTCTAAACTCAGGTGGACGGTAAATCCCAGATTGATTGAAAGAATTATTTTGTGGCATAGGATTGGATGAATTTTGATACTACCCCTGAGATTGGGGAGCAGTGTTTCCTTGATTTAGATTACGCTATGACAGATTGGGATGATCTCTCCAGCCAGGATTGTATGTAGAAGAATATGGATTCTAGGCTTGTCTAGAAAATGCAGCATTCACTTGCTCCTATGGGATCTCAGATGATTGTCCCAGCATAAGGCAAGCGTCAGCAAAATGGTTTAGATTAACACAGATTGAACAAACTACCTTGGGTAAGGCAGTTTGTAGATTAGTAACAGGAGCAAAGCCAGATGATAAAATTTAATTGAACCTACAGTTCAAGGCTTCTATTTGAGCGGCTAACTCACTAGATTTATCTACCTCATAAAGTTTTTCAATCTTATGCATTCCCGGTGAAGACCTAGACCTAGAGGAAGAAGCATGTTGCACTGAGTTTTCACTTAGGGCCTCAAATAGTTCCCAAACATCAGCCAGACTCTTACGCAGAAAAGCTCCATTACTGAAAGCATCAACCATATTTCTATATGAGTTTGTAAGAGTATCATAGAAAATCTGTATTAAATGCCATTGAGCAATATGATGGTGTAGACACTTTCTTAGAAAATCATTATATCTCTCCCATGCATCATAGAGCTGTTTTCCAGGGATTTTGGAAAATGCCATGATTTCTCTTCTCAGTTGTGTGGTTTTACCCACAGTGTAGTACTTCTTCAAGAACTCTTGTTACAACATGTCCCATGTAGATATGAAATTTATTGGAAGGGACTGCAACCAAGTTTTTGCTTTGTCTTTGAGAGAAAACTGGAAAAGTTGCATTCTGAATGAATCGTTGGTTAGAGTGGTCAACTTGGTAGTTGAACACAATTCCAAAAACACATCCAAGTGCTTAAAAAGATCCTCTGTTTCATACTCATGAAAGGTAGGATGCATTTGGATCATGGCTGGTTTGATCTCAAAATGGGTTGCATCAGCATCCGGAAAAACAAAGCACGAAGGGGAAGTATATGTGGTAGGAATAAAATAGTCCCTCAATTGTGGTGGTGGAGGGACAGGTGGAACCTGTTCTCCATTCCCATTACCATTATTACCCGGTGCATTACGTAGTTCAGCCATATTAACAGAAGAACTTCCTATCGAATTTAGATGTTTTTTAAGCTTTCTTAATTGTCTAAGAGTTCTCTCTATTTTAGGATCATACATTAAAGGTGTTGTCCGATTATGGCGTGTTAACATGCACTGGTTCCACTAATCCTAACAGTAACAAAAATAAAATATTCCAAGCAATAGAAAACAGTAAGAACTCACAAAAAAGGTTAAATAAATCGAAGTTTTTTCTCCCTTAAGTGTCTTTGCTCTCACTGCTAACTTGTACCTGAAAAGAAAAAAAAGTAAGATAAGATATCAGAAAGTCTGAAGACCGGTAAACCAAAATAACTAATTAAAAACTAAAATAAAAACTAATCTCCCCGGCAACAACGCTAAAAATTGATGCGTCTCTTGCAATTGAATGATATTGTGTAGGATAGTTCTACGTAGAGAGGATGTCGAACCCACAGGGAGATGAGATTTGTATTCAGTTTTCAATTTTGTTTTATTGGTTTATAGGTAACTGGTTGGAAAAATTTGTTGGTTGTCACGATTTAATAAACTTGAATTAAACAAAATACTAAATTAAAGCAAATTAAACTAAATTGAATGATAAGAGAGGGAAAATCTTAGGGCTTTAACTTCACCACAATCGTTATACTATGGTCAATAGAATAAACTCTGGGACTTTAACCAATTTTGTGTTCAAATGAATTGAACTCAATAACATTCGTTCAGTTCAGAGTTTAAAGAAAGATGTTTTACAAAATTAGCTAACCATAACCTATCTGCGGTTAGCGCGGACTATTCGTCTACCTACTCTACCTACTTTAACTACTTTACGAATGAACCACCTTTCCTAAGTATAGATTATGAAAACATTCTTTTGTAAAATACGTTGGAACACCATTATATGACCTCTATTCTTGTGTCCGGCAGGGCTCCACCAGATACCGTATAACAAGGTAGGTTGAGAATAGAACATAAATTATTATATCTAAGACAAGTTAATAACAATTTATATTCTACTAAAGCATGAAAAACCACTTGAGTTGTCTCAAGTGCTCATAGTCATATAATCAAGAAAATATTAGATATTAAAATAAACCCAGAGTCAAAACAAACAAACCATAATATAACGTTAGGTTACATCAGTGCCCTAAGAGAGGGTTTAACTGCTCATGACAAGGTTAGATCTCGTCTGTGTTGAATTCATCTCCAATGTCATGGATGACACCTCTCTTCTTATGATCTGCACTTTGAATGTTGTAAAAACCCTAAAAGCCACCACATATTCAGCCTTCTGAATAACACCCTAAAAAGCAATTGAAATTTCGGACCCTTCTGTTAAGGCTTACGCCTTCTTTTATAGAAGAAAATATGTATTTGGTGGGCTTTTAGATCTCCTAGCCTAACTGGGATGTGATACGGCTGGTAAAAAGAGTAATCTTGCAGCTTTTAATCTGACATGTCATGGAATGCTCGAGCTTCAGGAACGAATGCTCGAGCTTTAGGGTTCATGCTCGAGCATCAGGATCAATGCTCGAGCTTCTTTGGATAGATGCTCGAGCTTCAGGAGATAGTGTTGGATCATCACATTGACACTTAGCCAATTTTCTTTAACTATTTTCTGAAGTGTCTTTTTCTTCAACAATTAGAATATTTTTGGGGTTGGACTCCTTTAACATTGCTAGAGCATCTGGGGCTCAATGCTCAAGCATCAATGGATGATGCTTGATCCTTTGTGGATAATGCTTGATCATGGAGGTGAGGCACGAGACCTGGGAGCATAGCCTTCAATTAAAATTAACTCATTAATTTTCGACGCCTCATGCTCAAGCTTCAGAGTCAAGGCTCGAGCACCCTGAAGTAACGCTTGAGCATCAAGGTACTGATGCTCAAGTATTTGGGCTTTGTTGACTTTTCTTCTCTTCTTTGTTGTGATGCTCGAGCGTCAACACTTGGGCTCGAGCTCTAAGGCTTGAATTGCCTCAAACTTCACTAATTCAGCTCTTGGCTTGCTCTGAATGACCGGCAACGACTCTGTAAGCTTCGATATCATCATAAATTCCTAGTTTTAACCATTTATCTGGGAAAGTACCTGCAAACACACATTAAGCATAAATTAGTCTAATTATGGATAGAAGTATCACTTTAGGTACTAACATATATGTACTTAGGGGCTCGAATATGCTTATATTCAACACTCATTAACAACCCCATGCCATAGGATGTTCAGGCACCTCAGGTTGTTGAGGGAATGTTTCTTATTCATGGTTAACAGGGTCATGTTTTATTTGATACGGGTGCTACACACGCATTTGTATCTAAATCTTTTGTTACTTTATCTGGGATGATGACGTGAGTATGCGATCGACCTCAGGGGATTTCTACACCTTTAGGCAATACTACCATTTTACATAAGAGTGATGGGCCTCTGACACTAGATATTGGTAAACTCAAATTTTTAGCCAATCTATTAGTCCTGGACATGCACACTTATGATGTGTTACTTGGGATGGATTGGTTATCTCACTACTATGCCTAAGTTAACTGTTATGATAGGTCTGTTGTTTTTACCATACCTGGTCAGGATATATACGTAATTGCTATGCCTCGTTCTAACGAGGTTACTAGTACTTATTTGTTTTATGCGGAGGAGGAAATGGATGAGGAGATTACTATATCACTGGATAATATACCAATTGTACAGGACGTTCTACGGGAGTTTCATACTTCCCGCTTTATAGTTCATTTAGGTGGTACTAAAATGTATCACAATTTAAGACGTCAGTATTGGTGGAATGGAATGAAGAAGGATGTTGCACAGTTTGTGACTAGGTGCCTTACCTGTCAACAGGTGAAGGCCGAGCACCAGAGACCAGTCAGTTTATTGTAGCCATTATCAGTAGTGCAATGGAAATGGGAGCAGATTGCTATAGATTTTGTGACAGGTTTTCCAAGGTCATGGAAAGGAAATGAAGCCGTATGGGTCATCATTGACAAATTGACCAAGACGGCTCACTTTTTGCCCATTAAGGCAACAGATGATGCAGAGGCACTTAGTGTACTGTATGTGAAAGAGATTGTGAGGTTGCATGGAATTCCAGTGTCTATTGTTTCAGATGGGGATGCTAAGTTCACTTCGAAGTTCTGGGAAGGACTTCAAGTAGCGTTTAGTTCATCGTTGCACTTTAGTATAGTATTCTATCCACAGACGGATGGCCAGTCAGAGCGTACCATCTAGATCTTGGAGGATATGCTTCGGGCATGTATACTTGATTTGGGTGGTAGTTGGGAAGATCATATACTGCTTATTGAGTTTGACTACAACAACAGTTATCAGGCGAGCATTGAGATGGCTCCATTTGAAGCGTTATATGGTAGACATTGTAGGCCTCCTATCTGTTAGATTGAAGTAGGCGAGACAGTCGCCTTAAGACCCGACATTGTACTCGAGACTACCCAGAAGTTTAAGATGATTAGACAGAGGTTGCTTACAGCTCAGAGCAGATAGAAGAGCTATGCGGATAGGCAGAGACAATTGCTATCCTTTGAGGTAGGAGACCACGTTTTTCTACGGGTTTCTCCACAGATGGGGTTGATGAGGTTCGGGAAGAGTAGCAAGTTATTGCCACGATTCATTAGACCTTTTGAGATCTTGGTGCCACCACAGATGGACAGGGTCTATAACGTGCTTCATGTGTCGATGTTATGGAAGTATCAGCTGGATCCGTCTCACATTTTGAGTTAGGTTGATATGGACATTGATGAGGATGTCTACTACGAAAAGGGACCAGTTCAAATCCTTGACACACAGTAGAAAGTGTTAAGGGACAAGATGATACCGCTAGTGAAAGTTCTTTGGAGGCATCACAGTGTTGAGGAGGCTACTTAGGAGCTCGAAGAGGAGGTTCACTCCAAGTACCCAGCGTTGTTTTCTCCCTTAGGTATGGCATGATTTTGGGGACAAAATCCTTTTAAGTTGGGGAGAATGTAATGTTTCTGAATTTCGTCATTTTTCATTTTCTGGAATTTTTTGTTTTTGCAAAAGCATTTTCGTCTTTTCTCGCTTTACGTGTCGAACACCGTGGGGTGTGCTGGGTATGTCCGAGAGTTGCTTGGGGCATTTCTTTGAGTTCAGGACTCCTAAACATGCAATGGTTGTCATTGCGACATTTTTTAGTTTTCCGGACCGGAAAGTCCCTGGTGAGACCCGCTACCGAAATTGTTGCTTAAGGGGTTTTGTTTAGGTCCAATTGCATCTCATTCATTTTTATTTATTGTGTTTTATGTGGTATTTATATGGTTAGTCTACATATATATATATACATTGTGGTGGGAAATAAAAGTTAAAAAGAAAAAGAAAAAGAAAAATCATTTAGTGAACATAAGCCATTTTTGTAAAGTAGCGTCTTGAAATGTATTAAGTTATATGGTATGGCCTTATAATATAACTATGTGCTTAGACTCCATCTTGATGTCAATTTGGGGCAAAAGTGTAAAGACTTTGTATTAATTTTTATTTGAATGGAAAAAAAAAATGATGTTGCATTCTATTAACTTGTTGTAAGTGACCATGGCATGTAGAACAT